CACAACACACTCCACACACACCTACTGCACAACACACTCCACAACACACTCCACACACACCTACTGCACAACACACTCCACACACACTCCACAACACACTCCACACACACCAGCACTGGGAGGAAAGAGAAGGCAGATTTAGAGCTGTAAAACCATCAAGAGAGAAAAACCGAGCCTTCAAAATCAGCTAGAGATAAAAAAGGGCAATCAGTATGCCCTGTAAACTGGGGAATTATTCCAATTAGTGTGCAATCGATAGCAGTCTTAATGAAATTAGGACTGAGACAGAGTGCAGCTCTATAGCTCTGTGAAACCTGCTCTGCGGGTGGCCAGTGGTGATCGCTGTACAGACACTGTGTGCAGTGTCTCTCCTGTCCCTCTGTGTTCACTGTGAGCTGCAGGGGTGGGGCTGGGCTCGGAGCCCTGCCCAGAGGTCTGTCCCGAGTCTGCCCCTCCTGTGGGAGCTGCGGGAGTCCTCCGACACTCCCTGGTCTCGGCTGTGGGGTGTGTGCGATCGCCACGCTGGGGCCAGGGCTGCAGCCGCCAGCCCAGGTCACTGACACACCCGCTGTGATGGGGGGCCCATAGGAAGCAAACTGTACTTGAACAGTAAATGTAGATGTGCATATTTACATTCTATTCTTTCGCGTTTGCCTTAAAGCTGCAAACGTACGTACTTACGTGGAGTCGCACTGCCACCTAGTGTTCACTGTGTCTAATTGACTAAACCTGGTTCACTTTTGGAAAAGTGGAGGGAAATGTTATGATGCAAAGAGGCTTAAAATTGCACTGTTTTTCATGTGAAGCCTCAGAATAGATAGATGGGTCACTTACTAATGTGATCTGGCTGTTGCCGAGCTCTCTCGTTCGCAACGCGTTTCAGAGACGCGCACAGACACACGGACAGGCACACCTGCAGTCACACACGCCTCTGACACGCCTTCCTCTTCCTCCTCCCCGTGCCCCTCCGTGGCCTGCACCCCAAAACCGCCGGACCGGCACGCCGCCCCCCCCCCAGAACGACAACCAACTGGACGCCGCCGACCTGGACGCCGACCTGGCCGGGCTGGGCGTGGACTCCCTGGACAACGCCGCCCACCTGCCCCCCGAGC